GCTTGCCTGCATGCTAAGTATTCCTAAGATGTATGATCAGCTTGAAAGCTACAAATGGAGAGGAACACTGGTTACCTTAGTTAGGCTGCATCAGCTAAACCCATTGCCACAAGACTTTCGCAGAAGGCGAACCCAGCCATCCCCTAGCTAGTTCCAGTCTGTCGCCAATGACGCTTCAATTGGGGCCCGAAACTGCTGTACAAACATGGCGCAGCCATGCATTGCCACCTCGGTGGAAGTAGCCAACGATGCTGGACTGAATTTCAGTACCGCGCACGTGGGTGACGAGGAGTATCTGAACAGGGTCTCAACATCTAGATAAGCGTTTCCTGGCATCGAACTCCACGTCCGCCGATTGTGTGGGTCAATCAATCATGTTGCCTACGTTTCGGGTTCAACAGGAGGAGGAGGAGGCGCCGGCACATCGTCATATTCTGTTTGTTCCGTGTCGTCATCCATGTCGTTGTTTTGTGACCCGCCAGAGCCGGCGGAAGATGAAGAGGACGAGTGGTTGGAGGAGGAAGAGCTTGAAGAAGCTGATGATATTGAGGAACTCGAAGATCGCTGTCTGGAGATGCCTCGTGGTGGAGGGGGCGGAAGCGATGGGGGTGGTGGAATCTCAAACAAATCATCGCCATCGCCGTCACCGTCGTCAAATGATGAACTGGAAACATTCAGGAGAGCTTGCATATTGAATTCTGGGTCAATCTCAGATGCCTTCGGCTTAGGCTTTGGTTTCTTCTTGTTGCTCTTTGGCTTTTCCGGTTCTGAGTCTTCTTCTGGAGGGTTGTGGGAAATACTTTCAAATTCACCATACGAGTGCATACGCGACTCGGCGTCTGTATCACACTTCTCCAACTCGCGCCGATTGGAAAATCGAAACGTCACATTCTCCCCGTCCTGCATCTTGATGGTCAGTATTGGCTTGTCTGGCGAAACTTCGTGCCCCGCGACGGCATCCCAGAATAAAGTCCGTGCCTTGTCCACATCCCCAAGCCCGCTCGGTTGAAAGGACAACTGATCCCAACTCAAGAAAACCGAACCCTCGCATTGCTGGTGTTGCACGGGGTGGTAGGCAGAAGACGACTGCGCTCCGGGTGGCAGTTTCTTGTAACTCGCTACGTACCCGTTGGCGTTCTTTCCACTGTGGGCGCCCTTCCCAATGACGAGTCCTTCTAATGCGGATGACGTAAAACTGGTTGTGTTTCGGCGTTCATGTAGTCGGCTTGTCAAATCCATTCGAATCAATTCCAAATCCCTGCGCGTCGTCATTGTGAAGGTTGCGGATTGGCCGCTCTTCAAAAAGACCTTGAGAACTGCCTTATCGAGCTTGGGAGGGCTGCCATGGTGGCGCTCCACACTATCCCAGGTAAGCCTTGTAGGTTGTTCTCCTGGGTGTTTCGTTTCATCTGGCTGAAACAGCAAATGATCTTGCGTAAGAGTGGCAACGCCGGTCATGGATCGAAAGGTCACGTCCTTGTAATCTACTGGCAGTGAGGTTGCTTTCTTTGCCGCCTTGGCAGTCCTTGTATCCGTTGTTACAACGGAGAATTCATCATCCGAGCCATCTGAGTTGAAGCCGGTATCTGCCATTAGCGATGCAAAACTATCATCGAAAATACTGGGGATTTCTCCCGTTGCTGCCGCAGTTTCCTGTGGATCCGAGTCTGACATTGCAAGCAGACCGCTGATACCAGAATTGGGGGGCCTGATTGGCCCTGAATCAGCCTCGCTGCCACTATCGTCTGATCCCATGGAAGCCAACGAAAGAAGATCATTGATGACATCACTTTGCGACCTTTTCATTGAGTTATCCTCCTTTTCTTCCTGTTGCTCGGGCTGTTCTTCGCTAGCTTGGGTGCTTTCCTGCTTGCCTTTTGTCGCTGTCTCCGATGAGGCTTCCTTATCACTATCTTGCTCCTTCTTAGCTGTTGGACTGTCATCGGCTGCAGGTGCAGATTTCTTTGCCTTGGAGGCCTCTGCTGATGCCGCTTTGTCTTCGCTGATGGCTTCCAGCTTCTCGTCTGCTGCTTGCTGGTTGTCCTGGTATTCTTGCAATCGCACGGCGATATCTCTCCTGATCTTTTCCAAATCTTTACGATTGGGTAGCTGAAATGTGATGGGTTTTTCAGCATTGGTCAATACCAGCTTGAGCAGTGCTTTGGCGATTTTGGGTGGCGAGCATTGATGTTTGAAGACGTCACCCCATGAATACGTTTCTTTGTTCCCATCGGCTTTTTGAAACGAAATGTCATTCTTGGTCAACACAAGCCGTCCCGTTGCGTTACCCTGTTTGACGCCCTCATAGGCAATTGTGGCAGCCGACATGACATCCGGTTGAAACTTGGTCTCGACGGTGACGGCATCATCGTCTGCCGGTTTCTTGGCATCATCGCTTTGGAGTGCGGACAATTGATCCCCCAGCTTTTGTTTGTTGTCGTTTTTCTTGGCTGCCTTGGGAGTCTTCATTCGGGCTTCAATGTCATTCTTGAGCTGCTGTAGTAAGGGTCGCTCCTGGAGCTGAAACAGGAGGGGACTATCATCGGTCAAGAACACTTTTAATAGCACCTTGGCATGACTGGGAGGGTTCCCTTGGCTCTTGGTAACGCGACTCCATCGAATCGCTTTGGATGCCTTTTTGGGACCGGTAGATTCAAATGCCAAAGTTTCCTTGGACAGCGTCAAATTCCCCGTGACCGCTTTGAAAATCACTTGCGAATACACCACTCCATCGGCTGTTTCGGTTCGTTCGGCGGCTGCCTTTTTGGTGGCTGGTGCTTTCTTGGCGGGAGCTGCTGGTTGTTGCTGTTTTCTTCGTTTTTCCACTTCCTTGTTGAGTGATTCCAAATCATCTCGACTGGCTACTTGAAATGAGAATACCTTATCATCTGGTTTGGTGAGCTTCAATATACACTTGGCAATTTTGGGTGGGCTCTTTTGTTGCTTGGCAATATTGGCATATGCCAGGGCAAAGGTCTTTCCCCCTTCTTCTGAGGATTCCCATTTGAGTTGTTTCTCCAGCAAATGCAGTGATCCCACCATGTTTCGAAAGTGCACCCCCTGATAGACCCCACCCTTGTCGTCGGTTGAAGATGCTGCTGCTGCTCCTGCTGCTGCTTTGGGCACGGGTGGTTTGTCGCGAGAGTCATCCGCGGGAAACTCTCGGAGGCGGTTGATAATTTCATTATTGATCTTTTCCAAGTCTGATCGAGTTTCCATCTGGAAGAGTTTGGCGGGTTTGTTGTTTTTCATCATGACTTTTAACAGAGCCTTGGCATGAGATTTGGGATTGATTTGATGCTTGGCAATGTTGGCCAATGGCACCTTGAGCGTCTTGCCATCTGCCTTGAAGCTCAGATCGGAGGCAGAGAGCATCAGAGTTCCTTCCGACTTGCCGAACTTGACCTTGTCAAAGGAAAGGTCCTCGGAGGACGACATGATTGACTAAGTAAGTAAGTGATCTGGACCTGACCGACCAAACTGGAACAATAGTGGATTCGATGCTATGCGAGAAAAATGAGGGTTCGCAAGGGTGACGGGTAGACGAGTGAACTGCTATTGTGTGCTACTGACGGCAAGATGAACCATTTAGTAAAGTAGATCAGACGGAGCTGTCACACCCTTCCCAGGGCCTCTTTGTTGGTCGCATACGCCCCTTGCTCGACACTACAAGAAGGAAGCTTGCCATGCAAGAGAGGATTGATGGTGAACAAATTTGGCTGGCAGACATCTTCAAAATTTGAGGTCACGTTTTGTACCGGTTTTCCCACGCTGCGGTGCCACGATGACTCGTCACTCAGGGCCCCCTCCAACAAACTTCCCACATCGTTGCATCTGGAAGCCGCTTTTCAGCGACATGGCCACGGATACAACGTACTGAAAGGGTTGTTCAGAGCACCAAAGCTCCAGCGAATATCGTGCGTACAGCCTATTGAATGATTAATCTTTCTACAATAAATATCCGAAGGCTTCTCTACACCTAACTAAATTAGAGCCAATAAGGAAGTGTCTAAAGGAAGCGTCGATTTGCCTGTAACGATTTGTTTCCCTGGTGTCATCTACGTTCCCACTTTCTTGCCTCCTGGATAGCATAAATTCATATCATTGTGCTGGTCAAAAGGGGGGAGAGTGTTGTCGTGAGCTTGGTTGTCTGGTCTGGTAGCTCATAACATCAGACGACGCTATAGATACCGTTGGAAGTGAATCTTCCAACTCGATCAATTTGTGCAACGAGAGACATTCCTCCTTGGCCTTCTTGTTCGGGATAGTGCATACCTAGTACCCTTGGATCTGGCTGGTTCCAGTTGGGTTGAGCCGTGGGAACACACGAAGTGAGAGCAGCGTGTCAACTTCATGACGACGGTGGCGGCCATGCCTTTTTGCTTTGACGCCTCTTCTTGGCGTCCTTCAGAGCTTTCAGCCGGTCCAATTCGGAGCCTTCCACATCGTACGATTTTGTGTAAACCTTGTCGCTCATTGTGGCCGGCTCTGTTCTTGCTGCGGACTTGTTGGCTGAAAGGTGTTTCTTGACAATGTCGTTGATTTCATCCAGGTCTTCACGCGTATTGAGCTGGAAAGTGACACTTGTACCATCTCCCATTTGAAGCTTCAGCATGGCCTTGGGACTGAACTTGGGGCTTGATTGTTGCTTCGCAACGTCACGCCAAGCCACCGTCTTTTGCTCGCCCCCTTGATCATCGGGTACAAACACAAGTTGATCCTTCGTCAACTGAAGGGTACCAACGGATGTCCCACTACGCACGGACTTGTACTCCTTCTCGGCGGAGCCTCCTTTGGCCGCCTGGGCTGCCACATACCTTCGCTGCTGAATGTCCTTTTGCAGCTTTACAAGAACTGGTCTGTCTTTCAACTGAAATGCAAGCGCATCACCATCGGTCATCACCACTTTCAACATGACCTTGGCGCTACTTGCAGGCGTTCCTTGGGTTCGCGCAACCTTGTCCCAGCCAACAGGTTTAGCACCTTCACCGTCCCCGTTCGGCTCAAAGACGAGCTCTTTGTTGGTCAACCGCAGGGAACCAGTTTTGGACTTGTGTTGGACATCATCATACACGGTACTGTCAGCTGCGTCTTCGTTGACCTTAGAGAGGACTTCACTCTGCCGGCCTTTCGTTCGACTCGGTGAAACAGATCGTTGAGATTGGGTTGCTGGTGGAGAACGCCGCCGTTGGTTGATGTCTTTCTGTAGTTCCATCATTGTTTCTCTCTCTTCCAACTGAAATGTCAGAGCCTTTCCATCCTTCAGCATTACTTTCATCATCGACTTTGCGCTGCTTGCAGGGGTTGCTTGAGTTTTGGTAACCTTTTCCCATTCAACAGAATCAGCCCCAGTGCTCTCCCCATTGTTATCCGGTTCAAAAAGAAGATGCGTGTCACTCAAACGTAGCGATCCAGATCTGGACTTGAACTTGACGCCACCATAGACAGCCCCGTTAGAGTCTCCTTGGGTTGCTGATGACTTCAGGCCAATTTTCTTTGAGTCCAGGCCATTTGAGCTTGCGCTAAGGTTTTTACCCTCCGTGGCAATAGCGTCTCTCAACTGCATCAGAACCGGTCGGCTCTCTAGGTTCAATTTGATTGGTTTGCCCTCAGAAAGGACGAGTTTGAGCATTGAAACAGGGTGTGATGGTGGACTTGCTTGTTGCTTTTCAATTAACTTCCAGGGCACATGAAAGTTTTCTGGGTTGTCTGTGCCGCTTGCTTGAAAGTCTAATCCAGCACTCGTAAGGGAGAGTTGGCCAACAGATTCCCGAACACTAACTTTCTCGAACACAGCAAGGGGGGTCTCTTGTGGACTTCCCGAAGCCGTGGATGCGTTTCCCTTTCCATGGTTCCAGAGCTTAGCCAAATCACTCTTGAGCCTTACCAACTCGTCGGAGTTTTCAAGCTGGAAAGTCAGCTTCTTTTCACTTTTGAGCGTGACTTTAAGCATGGCCTTTGGGTGCGCTGGTGGACTGGCTTGAAACTTGGCCAACTCGACCCAGTTTACTGATATCTTTGTTCCTTCCGCTTCATTCGAGGAGTACAAGAAATGTTTATCAAACAAGCTGATAGATCCAGTTTCAGTTTGATATGCAACCCTCGGAAAGAAAGAGATTGCAGATGCTTCCACGTTTGCCTGCTTTTCAACGTCGGTCCCTCTATCGTTGCCGTCTTCCTTCCCTCGATCGCTGCCGCCCTTGTCTTCCTTCCCGCCGGAGCGACGTTTCTTGGCAATCTCCTTTTGTAGCTTTTCCATGGAAGGTCTTTCGCGAAAGGAAATCGTTAGCGACTGCCCGTTTTGGAGCGAGACCTTCATCATCGCTTTGGAGCTTTTCGCAGGCGTGCCCTGTTGTTTCAATATATCACTCCAGAGAATGGAATCGTATCGGCCTTCGGAGTTGTTGCTTTCTTTTGGCTTGAACTTTATCTGTTCATCCATCAGGAGCAGCGACCCGCTTATACCCTTCAGCTCCACGTGCTCGATAATGGCATATGCATCAGAATCGTTGATTGCCGTAGGTTCCGAGGACTTTTGGTCTGGAGACGCCGCCGCGTGATCGTTTGTCGAGTCTTTTGCATCGGCCTTTGTGTCGCTCTCCTTCTTGTCCGCGATGTCCTTTCGTAGTCCCTCAAGAGCAGCCCTACCCGAAAGTTCAAACGTTAAACCTTGCCCGCCGTCCGACAAAACTAATTTCAGAAGCGACTTCGGATGTGCGGGAGGGCTGGCCTGTTGCTTCGATATGTTGTCATATGATACACGAAGTACATCCGCTTGAGGAGCGTCCTCCGGCTGGAAGCACAGCTCAGTCTTTGATAGGGTGATGCACCCACTTGATTTCTTAAACCGAATATTCCGATGAACGATACCCTCCATTTCGGCATCGTTGTTTTGATCTAGCGTTCGCGCACTTGGCGCTCCGTCGCAGGAATCATCGTCCTGAGACTCCTCTGCAGTAGAATCATCTTCTTTTGCTGTAGCGCTCTTTGTGCCATTTTCGGCTTGGATGCTTTGGTCACTGCTTTGATCCACCTGATCCGAATCTCTATCTGCTTTTGTTGTGTTTTCATCTTTTTGAGACACCAGACCCTTTCCCTGCGTAGTTCCCTCGTCTTCCTCTTCGTCGTCAGAATACTGAACCTCCCAGCTCCCCGGAGCTTTCTTAGTTTCAGAGGATTCGCCACCTTCGTTCCCCGATTTCTCAGCCGCTTGTCCATCGCCTTCGGCATCCGCAACATCCTTCGAGCCCCCCTCGTCGTCCTCGTCATCTGAGTACTCGACGTCCCACGACGGTTTACTCGGAGGGTCACCACCGTCAGTTTCCGGACCCAGAGCTTGCGGTTTAGCGACTGTATCATTTGTGACCACGGGGTCTGCACTCTCTGACTCATCGTCCGAATACTCAACTTCCCACTTCGACTTGTCCTCAGGGTGCCCACCATCAGTGTCCTGAGCCGTTGTTGGTTGGACACGACGAGCTTGCTGATTGGGGTGTGTGTCACTGGTGACCTCGGCACTTGCACTCTCCGATTCATCATCGTCTGAATATTCTACTTCCCACTTCGGTTTGTCATCTTGCTTGGGAGTGCCCAATGTAACATCTTCATCCTCAAGACCTTCCTCACTGTCTTCATCGTCAACCTCATTTTTAGCCACTGGTGGAGGTGGTGGCGGTGGAGGGGGTACTCTGCCTTCAGAGTCGTCATCAGTTTCACTTGCATCCTCTTTCTCCGAGTCGTCCTCTTCTTCTTCGTCATCGTCATCAACCTTTGCATTCTTCTTCACACCCACTGGCTTTGCTTTCTTTTTGGTGGGATTCTCATCCTCATCATCTGATTCTTCTTCTTCCGATTCCTCTTCATCATCATCATCATCATCATCTTCTTCGTCAACCTTTGCTTTCTTCTTTGCAGCAACTGGCTTGGTTTTCTTTTTGGCGGGCTTGCCATCCTCATCGTCTGAGTCCTCTTCTTCTGAGTCATCATCGTCGTCAACCTTTGCTTTCTTCTTCACAGCAACTGGTTTCTTTTTGGTGGGCTTGTCGTCCTCATCGTCTGATTCCTCTTCTTCTGATTCCTCTTCTTCGTCGTCGTCGTCTTCAACCCTTGCTTTCTTCTTCGCAGCAACTGGCTTGGCTTTCTTTTTGGTGGGCTTGTCATCATCATCCTCTGAGTCCTCTTCTTCTGAGTCATCTCTTCGTCTCACGTCATCAGCCTTTGATTTTTCTTCTTGCCACAACTGGCTTGGCTTTCTTTTTGGTGGGCTTGTCATCCTCTTCGTCTGAGTCCTCTTCTTCAGAGTCGTCTTCTTCAGAGTCATCATCATCATCATCATCAACCTTTGCTTTCTTCTTCTTTGCAGCAACTGGCTTAGCTTTCTTTTTGTTGGGCTTGTCATCCTCATCATCTCTGATTCCTCTTCTTCCGAATCCTCTTCTTCGTCGTCATCATCGTCATCAACCTTTGCTTTCTTCTTCGCAGCAACTGGCTTCTTCTTTTTGGTGGGCTTGTCATCCTCATCGTCTGATTCCTCTTCTTCTGATTCCTCTTCTTCTGATTCCTCTCTTCTGATTCCTCTTCTTCTGATTCTCTTCTTCTTCGTCGTGCCATCAACCTTTGCCTTCTTCTTTGCAGCAACTGGCTTGGTTTCTTTTTGGTGGGCTTGTCATCCTCATCCTCTGATTCCTCTTCTTCTGAGTCATCATCTTCGTCGTCACCGTCATCAGCCTTTGCTTTTTTCTTCTTCGCAGCACTGGCTTTCTTTTTGGTGGGCTTGTCCTCGTCGTCATCTGAATCCTCTTCTTCTGAGTCCTCTTCCTCCGAGTCCTCTCGTCGTCATCATCATCATCATCATCCTTGTCAACCTTTGCTTCTTCTTTGCAGCAGCTGGCTTTGCTTTCTTTTTGTGGGCTTGTCCTCTCATCTGAATCCTCTTCTTCTGAGTCCTCCTCGTCTTCTTTGTCATCAACTTTTGCCTTTTTCTTTGCGGCAGCTTGCTTGGCTTTCTTTTTGTGGGCTTTCGTCCTCTCGTCATCTGATTCCTCTTCTTCTGATTCCTCTTCTTCTTCGTCATTGTCATCAACCTTTGCCTTCTTTGCAGCGGCTGGCTTGGCTTTCTTTTTGGTGGTGTGTCACTCTCTTCATCACTCTCTTCCTCCTCTAGCTTCATCTTCAGTTGAGTCATCCTTGACAGCCTTTGCTTTCTGTTTGGCCACTGATTTCGATTTCTTTTTGGTTGGTGTGTCACTCTCTTCATCACTCTCTTCCTCCTCTGAGCTTTCATCTTCAGTTGAGTCATCCTTGACAGCCTTTGCTTTCTTTTTGGCAACTGATTTCGCTTTCTTTTTGGTCGGTTTGTCACTCTCTTCATCATCACTTCTCTTCCTCTTCCTCTTCCTCAGAACTCTCTTCTTCTTCGGAGCTTTCTTCTTCGCTGGAGCTCTCGTCCTCTTCTGAGACTTTCTTGCTCTTTTTCTTCTTCTTAGCAGCTTGCTTCGCAGCGGCTTTTTTGAGTTCTTCCACCTCACTGGCCATGTCGCAAAGCAGTGAAGGTGCCACAAAAGAGTTGTCCATCGACAACGCGACGGGTAGATTCAATCGCACGAGCGCTTGGAAAGTGAGTTTCAGGCATGCATTTGCGGCGACAGTTGATGACCTGGACATACCTCTTTGTTTTCTCTGTTTCGGCCAAGGTTTGGCGCCTCTTTTTCATTTCTTCAATCTCCTTTCGAGCTGCGTCCACCTCTGCCTGGGCTTCAGCGCGCGCCAATGCCAATGCCTCCTCTTCGGCCCTTTCTGCTTCTTCCTGTTCTCTCTGAGCCCGTTGCGCTTCCGCCATGGCAGCAGCTTGAGCCTTGGCCTTTTCCTCAGCGACAGCTCGGGCCTTGGCTTCCGCTTCTTGTCGCTTTCTTTGCTGTTCAGCCCTTGCAGTCGCCGCGGCCCTGGCTAGCTTTTCCATGGCCAAATTAATGAGCTTGGCATTGCGAAGGACGAATTTGGACATCGGGCAGAACCCCATCGAGCATTGTCGATCTTTGCACGACATGATATGTTGCATCATTTGTCTGCTCTGTACACAAAAGCCGAATTTGCAGGCTCCTGCTGGCAGGCGGCAATTGGCTCCATGTTTCAGCAACATGAGGTTTCGAGCTTTGGATTCCAACTCTGGGTCCTCCTCTGGGTCGTACACCGCATTGGCCGTGTTTCGCGCGGTCTCTTTGAGTCTCTGCTTGACCAAGGAATCCTCGGCGGCAGCTTTCCTGGCCTCGTTGGCAAGCTCTGCATCGGCATCTTCCAATTCAATTTCGGCTACATCCAGTGCATAATCGTATTCCGCGACTTTTTGTGCCTGTTCGGTCGCCTCCGCGTTCATGAGTGCATCGAACTGATGAACCGTAATGTTCAATTCTCCCACACCGGTGCCATCCTCATTGTAGTCTTCCAACTCATCTCCAAAATCTCGCATGAGTGCGGAATAATCGACTTCGTCTGTTTCGGCCGCTTCGACCACTTTACTGAATTCAGCCTCCATGGCCCGTTCTTCTTCCTCTGCCTCGTCCTCATCAAATGCCAAATCGCCTAACGAAGCATGACCAAAATCGAGATCTTCGACTTTTGGGACCACCAAGTAGCTTTCTTTGCTTCTTTTGGAAGACGACGACAAATCGTCCTCCTCGTCACTTTCCTCGTCCTCGTCCCCCAAGTCGCGTTTGCTTTGACTTTTTTGCAACATGCTGTGATAATCGACCCTTGGTTCCAACTTGGCCATGGTCGGTGCGGCCGTTTTCCATTCTTCTTCGTCCTCTTGGAATTCTTCCTTGACATGTTCCAAGTCATGATCCAGTTGTTCCAATTGTTGATTCATTGCGGATTGTGCCTTTTGAAACATGGCTTGAATTTTGGGGTCGGGCTTGACTTCTTCCAACGGTTCTTCTTCCTCCTCTTCTTCATCTGTAACTTGTTCCTCGGTATCGTCATCGGTGGTCACCGTGTCTCCTCCACCCCACGTGCTCTTTTTGGGTGGTGGTGGTGGTGGTGCTTTCTTACGGGCCCGGTCACTCTCGCTGCTGTCACTGAGGTCACTATCATCGTCGTCATCATCATCATCATCGGAATCGTCGTCGTCCAGAAACCCTCCACTCCATTTCTTTTTGGGTGGTTCCTCAGGCTTTGGTTCCTCTTTTTTCTCCGGTTCAGGTTCAGGTTCTTTCGGCGGTTCAGGTTCAGGTTCACGTTCAGGCTCCGGCTCTGGTTCTTTGGGTGGTTCAGGTTCAGGTTCAGGTTCTGGCTCTGGTTCCACCGGTTTTTCTGGCTCTGGTTCAGGTTCTGGTGGTGGCTTTTCGGGCTCTGATTTTTTCAATTTTGCCTTCCAGGCGGGCACAGCAGGAGTGGAGGATGCCGGTGGTATCGATGGTTTTTCCATGACGGAATTGGATCTGGCCTTTGCCTTCCAAGCAGGTGTGCCACTGCTACTTGCAGGAGCTGGTGGTGGTGAATTGTTGTTGTTTTTGGATTTCCAGGAGGCTGCACCACCCGCAGTAGTCGCGGGGGCAGCGGCAGATTTGGATTTCCAAGCGGGAGTACTGCTAGCAGGTGGCGGTGGGGCTGGTGGTGGTGCTGCTGGAGTGGAGGATTTGTTGAGTTTTTGTTTCCATGCTGGCATTGCAGGCGAGGCAGCAGGAGCTGGAGGGGCTGGAGCAGCTCCTCCTCCTTTTAATTTTTGCTTCCAGGCAGGAACAGACGGGGCAGCTGCTGTTTCGGGTTCAGCCGCTGGTTTGTTGGACTTGAGTTTTTTCTTCCAGGCAGGAACATTTGCTTCCTTGTCGGTAGCTTCCTCGTTTCCCTTCTTCTTGGCACCCCATGACTTGCCAGACGATGGAGGGGCTACTGGGACCCTCATGGTTTACTGAAACATACAGAACTGACTTGACTTGGGTTGGAATGGATGCCTCTATAGGTGGGTCTTTCGGGCTGGGCTCTTCAGTAAAACAATGGATAAAGATAGATAATAGCAGGGATCCAACGTCAATGGAAACCGAAGGGAGTTGTGTTTGTGTTGTTGGTTTGGTTTCCGTGAGAGAGACAATGACTTGATGACTTCATCCTGTCATCGCTTTTGTGGGTCTTTGGTTTGAAGCGTCCAATCAGCAAAAGCCAGGTCAACATCTATCATCTATTAATATCTCTCACTGGTTTCTTGTTTGGACGACCCCCTTATTTCCTTATGGCACAATGACAAGTGACCAATGACTCAAGTGGGGCAGTACTTAATTAATCAGTCCGCACCTTAAAGCCCGGGTGGAACACAAAATTAATATCTTTCTTGACTCGAAAACATCAGCAACCAATGGCCAACCACCACACTGCGCTGACAGATGACAACGATTTAAGTCAGCGGGAGCTGTGATACCTCGGCAGAAAGACAGATAGAAGAAGGAGGATCATGTTCGAGATTGCACCCATCTTTCAAGCCAGCCCTGGCGACAACACCCGACTACGTCGTGTGTTGCCGCCCGGTATCATTCATTCCCTCATTGCAACCTTCTTTATTAAGCTAGCCCTGGCGACAACACCCGACTACGTCGTGTGCTGCCGCCCGCTACTCTATAATTTACCAGCTGCCATTCCCTTATTGTAACTCCAACCTTTACAGCTCCTGCTGGCTTATTGTGCTGTTGTGCTGATTGCACTAACCTTAAATATTAATGATTTATTCCTACCCCTAACTTGTATTAAACCATCAATGTTCAGTTTTGTTGGCTTATGACTATCTCTATCCTTATACTTTGGCTTCACCGGAATAGGAAATAGGAAATAGGAAATAGGAAATAGAAAATAGGAAATAGGAAATAGGAAATAGGAAATAGCATTAAAGGGGTTGAGAACTCAGGCAGTTTACCTGCCGAGGTAAAGGGGTTGAGAACTCAGGCAGTTTACCTGCCGAGGTAAAGACAGCCAGCGGCACCGATACATGTACCGCTACTCGTACGGTAGGCAAAAACCGGCAAGCCCCTTTTGCTGCCCCAGTCGTGTTTTTCCATCGACAAATCTCCTCTCCAGAGCGCATTTTCCTGCATGTACCGGTACCACCAAGAAATGACGGACCACAAGAGAAGAGTTCAGCAGCTGCTGAACAAAATATACACAGAAGCAAACCCAACAATAAAGGAATCACTCTGGTGGGACCTTTATTTTACTCTTCGGGAGCGACCCAGACTTGCCTTTGATTGGGTTCCCTTCCTGCATTCCGATACAAGCTCGATTCCATTCTTACGTCTACTTGGAAGCCGAGTTGTTGACGAGGCAAGACTGTGGGAATTAGCCAACGGCTGCCCTGACAACCCCAATGAAGAATCCAGGATCGTTCCTTGTCTAGAAGATTTGTGGGACCTAATGACATCCCCGCAATTGTTTGAACCTGACCCGGTGGAGATTTCTTTACCTCCAGACTCCAAAGAAACGGGAACACAAGGTGAAGAAGGACAAAGGAACCTGATATTAATACTCAAGAAGACCATACTACACATCAAGCACTGTGTAAAGATTTGTGTCAAGGAGATACCAGACTTTTCCTCCATTCCGCATTGGCTTGCCGCAGTACACGACGCGCTCCAGAAGATCAAAGAGGAGCCAAAGGCAATCCATGTTAGTCTAAAGCAAACAGCAGGCTCTGCTGCGTTCAAGTTTAACTCAGAACACCACCGGGTCGACCACGTCGGGCGATTCAACTATGTGAATGTCACCTTCAACAGGTGGGAGCCATCTGTGGTCCACCTGTTGAGAGAAACAGACTTGTCCTCGATCCATCACATCTCCATTGGCCCTGCAGATCCACCTTTTGGTTGTTGCATCAATTTCGACGGCGAACGAAACACATATGTGGGGCGCGCGAGTCGCCGTTCTTCTGAGGGCACAGCCTTGACGCTCGGTGGCGCATCCCCCGCTTCTGGCAAGGCAATCGCTACAGAATGTGTCTGTGGATTGCTACGGAATGCTCCTGATTTGAAAGAGTTGCGCGTCACTTACACGGCAATGGATTTGGACTTGATTGCCGTTGCCGAAGCATTGAGGACACACAAGCAACTGAGTTACTTTCGATGGGAGGTACGGAGACAACCCACAGCGGATGAAGTCTCAGCGTTGGAATCGTGTCTGAGGCACGACAATCTTTCTCTCGAATGGCTGGATGTTTTTGGAGAACGAGAGCCTCCCCTAACGATACGGCATTTTACTTGTTTGTTTGAACCGACGAGGACGTGCCAAGATGCGAGAACTGATTGTAGGAAGTGCCTTTACAGATTTGCTCATTGAAGTCAAGAACGATCGCTCTGGATATGCCCGCTGGTCCGGTGGCCACATCAACATGCTATATGGACTATTGCGCCAATCACCTGGCAACTGGTCTCTCATTGCAGATCAGAACCACGCAGAAGGTAAGGTTCGTGGCTATCGCCGCAAACGACGGAAAAGAGGGAGCAAAACGACCCGAAAGAAGAGGCAGGCTGTGGCTTGCAGTACGGATGAACCGGAGAGCCAGAGAGCCTGCACATATATATAGATACGCAGTGTATGGCGTAGATACCCCACTGTGGCATGGGAGGTGACGAATTGGAGCGCTGAATGGGTGTGCTTTAGTTCTAAAGAAGCTACTTTTAGTGGGTATGCATATTCGTGTATTCCTTGAGCTAGCTAGCTGTTTATACTGCAAACCACGAAGGGGAGCTGTTGGTTCAACTCCACCAGAAAATTGTTGAGGATCGCGACAGGGCGACACCAAAACACTGGGGTTGTGGTGGGGGGAGTAACCACAGCAGTGGTTGGGGGTTGATTACAACAAAGTTGTGTGGAGGGGGTTTGGTGTGTGGGAAAGGGGTGTGCACGGTACAAGGCGGTGCGTGAAATGCCTTGACCATGCGTGAGTGTTCATGTGCAAGCACAGAGGAACTCTCCAGTTTCAAAAAATGTGTTAACATAAGGAGGGAAGACCCTCCAGTATTATGTTAATAATACTAGAACAGTTACTACACAAAATCAAAGCCAATAAGGCGAAGAGAGATGGGTGTAATCTAATGATTGGTGGAAGATGCTGTCCAAGCGCATGAGTATGCTGGAATTGCTCAACGACGCTATCTGGATGCAGATTGTTGAACCGTAACTTGAACTGGGCTGTACCGGTCACAAAAACTGGCATTGAGACATTGAGACCCTCTCATAGACATTCTTTCCTGCCTTCCGTTAAACGTTCAGTCACAGGCTGGCACTCTTCGGAAACCGGCAGTTGCTTTCTTCCTTTGCTGTTGAATTTCAAGACCAAACCTCCAACGGAGAACGGAGTGCCCATCACTGCATCAAGCCATCAAGCAAGGGCCTGTTCGACAACGGCTTAGAAGACGGGACGGAAGCTTGCTGAAGTCCTTTTCTCACTGGATTTCTCCCTCTGGCACGCCACCACTTGTTTGACCATCATTGATATTGATTGATTCCCCATTGCAGCAGCAACTGATTGATTCCAACTCCTCCATCAATCCTCCCTCACCCTCAAGGAAAATGGCAACATCCATGGCGACTACTATGCTGACGATGAAGCCAACCCGTCTCAGCTTTATCAGCGAATCGAGCGATGGCCTGGAATCAGCAGACACATGGGCCACTGAAGACAGCAGCTGTGAAGACGATGATGAGATTTCCAGTGGCGTTTACTCCTCGTCTGCTGCCTCTCAAGGCATGGCTGCTCCCACTTCTCAACAACACAGTAGTAGCAACGATCTGTATTCGGGTTCGACGTTGTTGTTGGCCGAAAAGGATCGTCAGATTCAACAACTCAAGCTGGCACTGGACGCTGCCTTGCGAGACCATTACATTCTGGAAGAACGAGTTAGTCAACAGCAACAGCAAATGGATATTCTGCAGCGATTCTCGCAACAAGATAAGCAAACGATTGCCCGGCTGGAAGAACAGATCACGCGGCTCCGAGACGCCGGTTTCACATCGGCTGCCAGCAGTGTGGCGTACACGACGGATGACGACGACGACGACGACTGCTTTGACGACAATGATAGTCAAGTGCGAGATCAGATTGCGGCCGTCAAGGCATCGTTGGAACAGGGATCTCATCAGGCCAAGGCCAATCAAGTGTCACTCACGCAAGAACTAGAAACCTCACGGCGACTGCGACAAAAGTTGGCCAATCGTAAGGGGTGCCACCAAGCGGCTAGTGATCGATCAGCATCGTCCTCATCGCCACCAGCAACTCCGACTAGTACTGTTCGCTACCACCACAACAACAATCCATCCTCCAACCATAGCCTGTCGCTGACACAACAAATCGCAACGTTGGTTACTTCCGTACAGGAACAAGAACAGTACATGGCCGAAATTGCTCAGTCCTTCCAGAACGACAAGGCAACCATTCCAGTGTCACTCTACCAGGCCGAAATTCAACAGTGGAAACTGGCACTCAAACAACTACAAACTTACAACCACGCAGACGACGACGACAACAACAACACTGACACTCGGATGCTACAAGAGACACTCGAGCAATCCAGCCAACTGCTCGAGCAAGCCAATGTCAAATTGCAGCAGTTGGAGGCAGCGTTGTCTCTAGCACAAGGAGAATCTCAAGATTCTCAGGCACGGGCTGCTACGTTGTTTCAAGTGGTACAGAAACTTCAGCGGGATAAGGAAGAAGAAATCCATTTGCTGGACATTGTGATGCAACATTTGATTGACCTGGAACAACAACAACAACAGGAACAACAGCCGCAAAGGACACGCAAAACAAAGTAAGGGATTGATGCTGCGAGGGGGGAAGGATCCATCCAGCACGGCAGCATCAAGGGAAATAGTCATCAATCACTCTCTATGATACCTGCATCATACATAACTAGCTAGTATTCGTCATACCGATCAACAGCTACTGAAAATGGCACAAATGGACGTGTAGCATGCTTGGAGGTTTTTTTCTCAGCTATGTCTGGGGTGGGATTTCCACCAATTAGAGCGCATCATGGGTACTCTAGCTAGCATTAACATTCTTGTGATTAGCCCTTCAAGAACCTCGCTCGGCGTGGAAGTACAGAATGATAACAAAGCAAGAAATTCAAAAGGCACATGATTGATTGACATCTACTTTAAAAAACTCTATTTCTTCTTATGTGTGTACCTTCGCCAATTATAAAGAGGCTTGCTACCATGCCCAAGGTCTGAAGCTGTCATTGTAGGCTCTCTCCTAGTTGAGGAAGAAGTGATCATACATGTGATTTGCGCTATGAGCTTGTTCAGAGGAATTGGGGGGCTCTGATGTAGGCTTGGCTGTTGGGCTTGGAGTGGGATCTGATGTAGGCTTGGCTGTTGGGTTGGTTGTGGGTGCCAATGTTGGTTTGGCTGTGGGGCTTGGAGTGGGTTCTGCTGTTGGGTTTACTGTTGGGCTTGGAGTAGACACCGTTGGCTGTGGTGTAGACTCTCTAGTAGGACCTGGTGTTGAGTATGTAGGCTGCACAGTGGGTGCTGTGGTTGGTGCAGCTGTAGAAGTCGACGGTTGAGGT